CAGAGGGCGGCGCGCACGCAAACGGCGGCGGGCGAGCGCTGGCGGCGAGGCGGGCAGCTCCGCCTCGGGCGGGGCGCGGGGCGAGGGCGGGCGCGCGCGGCTCAGGGACGCCCGTGGGCAGGGCGAGGGGTCGGACGCGGGGAGCCGGCCGCCGCCGTCGCATTCCAGCGGGACTATTTGCCGCGTTGTTTCGCACGCACGCCTCCGCCGCCTTTTTGGGTGCGATACGGTTGTCGGAGCAACACCGGCCCGGGAGGGACGGGACTACTTTCAGTCACAGAGCGGCGGCCGCACAAAGACGGCCGCTCCCCTGCGCCCGCAGGTGCGGGCTCCCCGGCGGGGATCCTCTTCCGTCCCTCTGGGTCGCTGCCCAGCGGCGGTTCCCGAGTGAAGGGTGGGCTGTGGGGCCACGGCCTTTTCTTGGAAATCGCTGCGGAGCTGCCCCGTGGCAAAGCTACTTCAGTATTTCTCCGAGGAGCGCCACATCTCACCAGGCGTCCGTCCTTTCCTCCCGGAACAGCTGTTCCGTGGAATGAGGCTTCGAGGCAGAACGCCTTAAAGCAAAATTCGAGATCCTCGCGTTCAGAAGTCTGTGTTATTTTCAGGGTTATTAGAAACTTATGGAAACATTTAACTTTTAATTTCGTGTCTGTTGAACATATACTTTCATAGCTTTTCTTGTGATTACAGTAGGAGATAACATCTGGGCCAGATTAAAGGCCCAGGCATCGCAGACCGGCTCTGACATCAGACTCCAGCAGTCATGTGATGATATCAGACTTTCAGATTCTACTGGGGAAAAACCGCAAGTCAAAACTTTCTAGAGAAAGAAGTAAATGTCCAACTTTAAAAGTTGTTTAAGAAGGGGGGAGGGAAATCTTGAAAATGTAAACAACTCAACAGCAATGGCTGCCTGAGGGCAGGTCTGTGTTCAAGTATGTCTTTGACTCCACCAGGTGAAATAACCTCCTGCGTTGCTGCTGTGTCAGCCAGGAGGATAGCAAACTCGATGGTGTTGGAGGGGAAGGGCTTCCCATGAACAAATGTACCAGAGTGTGGATAAACCTCAGCATATCCTTGATGTCACAACTGGATTTTGTGGGAACAGACAGAAGCAGCATAGCATTCTATTTATTTTCACTGAGCAATTGGAATCAAAGAAAACAGTTACTCACAATGTTGCATGATCAATGATTAACCTCTTATGTAGTATTGCAAGTCCTTAATGAATTCTTCATATCTTAGCAACACAATGCACAGCTGAGAGAAAATTCAAGCCTGAACCCTCAAATGACACATTTCTCAATGTGCTGTTCCCTGTTGTATCTTGTATTCTTTTTTCTTTTGCTGGAAACACAATGGTGTCTTGGCTATCTTCCTTGGGAGCTGGATCCCCTGTCTGTTGGCTCTCACATCTTCCCCACCATCCCATCTGACTGGCTTTATTTTTAGCTTACAAACATTATGTGCTGTCACCCATCATGAATTTGACCATTTTTCTGTATTTCAAGACCTTTCCTTTCCTGATAGGATTTCCTCTAATCATTGAGTGATTAGTGGCTTTACTTATGTATCCCCTTTTCTCCATATGCTTCATAGAGACAGTCCCCTCTCTACTCAAGCCTAGGTAGCCTTTTTAAAAGCAATTTTCCATTCATTGCTTGTGATTCAAGACCAAACCCATGTTGTATCTGTTTCTCAGCTTTACTTCTAATTCATACACACAGGGGGAACCCAGCTGTAGAAGTTTTTACAAAGTAAACTAGATTACCTCACACATAAAAGATTCTGACAGCCAGGGCTCCTCTGAAATACTTACATTCCTTTATTTGATCTTAAAGTTAAAATGAAGGAAATAGAAGTGCAGAGGGAATGTTCTTTCTATTGCAGTAGGAAGATCCTCTTGTTGGTTACAATTATTTTTATTAATCTTATGATTATTCATTTTTATCAGTATTCATTATTATGAGTACTCATTTGCTCACTGAAATCCAGTCAGAGACTTTGACTGTCAAGAAATCTGTACAGTCTTATTCTTACCTGTGGACTCAGGCAGTGATTCAATGATAGAAGAACTTTCACAAGAATTTCATTATACTCAGGTTAGTTCCCTGGTTTGGTTCATAATACAGCTTCAAAAGCATTTTTGTCAGCACAGAGGACAGCCAGGAGTGGCAGCTGGAGCTTCTGAAACCAGTAGTAACTGTTCAAGTCTCTGTATCTTTGAACAGTGCCCTGGGTTGCAGTGAAGTCGGTGGGATCCTTTGTAGAATGGGGACTGAAGTCCCTAATGAACAAAAGCTGTTAGCAGAAGATAGCTGCACAGCAAATGGATTTGTGGCTGCCCACATCACAGAAACCACTATCATAATTAGCTCCGTTGCTGAATGTCTCAACAAGAGTTAATGGGCATGGCATGGTGAAATCCTGGTCCCTCTGAAGTCAATGGCAAAACTCTCACCAACTTCAAAAGGGTCAAGTTTTATACTGAAACTCTAGCTCAAGTCCTCTCTTGCATCCATAAGGAAAGACTGCAGTAAAATAGCATAGGAGATGGGATGTGAAGTGGTGATGACTTCATCAGTGATGTCTGTTACAACAATTTCACAGGTGAAATAAGACACCCTGACTCCACCTATCACCACCTTTTCAAAACAAGATCAGATCTAAGAAATATGACAGATACACCTTACAAGATTTATCCTGTTCCAAGAGCAGAATGGAACACCACAGTGTTCCTTCTTTAAAGAACAGAACACTAAATCATCTATCCCTTCTTAAAAATCAGTAATAAGCAGACATATTTTCCCTTCATTTTTACTATTAAAAGTAAAGCCGTATCAACTGCATCTTTTCAACAAGGCTTAGGCAGCTTTCCTTGGACTGATAGCTATTTCTCTATTCCAGAAATTTTCTCCAGGGAGATCTATTCCAGATCTCACTTATCTTCACTTACTGTCTGTAGGGTTGCCCACAGTCTGTCAAACCGTCTCAATAGTCAATAGCCAGCATTCCCATTATTTTCCCACCCATAAATCAAGTCCCCATCCTTCCCCCCCCCTAGAGGTTTTTCCAATTATGGATGAAGTTGCCTCTTCTCCTTGCTCTTCAGTCCCTTATTTTTTTTCTCCATTAAGTGTAATACCCTTTTTTTTTTTTAGCATCTCCGCCTTCAGAAGGTGCTGCCTGGTGTCCAGGATGAGAACTGCATTTCTTTGTAGCTGAAGAAATCCTTACAACAAAAACTTCACAGAGAAGGTCCTTGAGTTCAGGAGAGCATAGGGGTAAGCTAGTCCAACAGGATTCCAGCGATAACCTGAAGGGGAAATATAAAATAGATGACCCTGTAGGCTTGGGCTTTTTCTTTCTACCTTTTGAGGAGTGTTTGGACTCCTGCTGATGGTGTATCCAGGATCAGGCTGTTTATCTACTGCTTCTTTTCTCCTCTTCCATCTCCCAGGGAGTTGAAAACAACACTGCCTCAGGATATGCTTCTTCAGCTGTAGTACCTTCAGCGTGAATTGTGTAGGATTCTGATTTTAACTTGGCACTGCCCACCAGGCCACAGGGCAAGTCCAATACTTTCCTTATGAAAGCCAGGTAGCCATGGCTATATTTCAAAGCTAAATTATAAAAAGTCATTTTAGAAAGTTAGAGTTCCAAAATTTGTAAAAAAACTGTAATGCTAGGTTGATGCAGCTAAAACATCCTTTCAAAAGAGACCGCATTTCAGGCTGACGGATACCAAAACACTGTTTTATTTTAGTTTGCAAAGATTTTCAAAAAACAGACAGCACCTGAGCTCTATTAACAACATGCATGCATTTTAAACAACAACAGCTTAAGAATACTTCATTTTCAGAACACTTTCATGGAGCTCAGCATTTTGCCATACGCATGCATAGGATTTACCGGTTACACTTTGCACTGTAGCCTTTTAAAAATTAGTTGCTGGTAAAGGATTGTACATTTGTTAACACTGTTTTAGCCACAGGGATAAATTACTAGAATGCATGCCTTATTATGGTCGAAAAAGGTAAGTTACAGTAATTAGCAAAAAAAAAAAGTAAGTTATAGTAATTAGCAATTGTTCATACAGCACTTCAATCTTTGTATAATATACACATTGTGACACATCATCTGTGCACAGGAAGGAGCCCATTTTGCAATTCGAAGTAGCTTCCTCTGAGCTGAAGTGCACTAACAAGGATGCACATGGGAAAGCCGCAGTTCACGATGTCAAAAGAGAATCACCCCTTCTCCAGTTCAAAGTCTGGGGAGAAGATTTGTGATGTTTACTCGCATCCATATTTTTATAGATTTACATTTATTGAGTCTGAAATTACCCAAGACACTTAGCACCTCGAGGAAATGACTTTGCATCCTTCACTGGGATACCACTTCAGGGGTGTTGTTTTTCTTAACTGTTAAAAAGTTCTCAAACTATTCCAGAAAAGCACAATCGGTTACTTGTGCACTACCTTAGAGCGCAGAAGAGTGCCCTCTGTTGGCTAACCTTTTAGGTTTAATATCTACGATGTTAATGTCAACCTCCATTTATGAGGTTCAAAAAGCAAAAACACAAAGATGCAAGACGCTGAAGCAGTTCATTATATAAAGAAAAAAAAATCTTGATTTATTTATACGTAGTAGTTAAAAATAGAGGTTGAAGGTATATTCTTAATTTTTTCGTTAAATTAATATTAGCCAGTTTTTCTAAGAGCAAAATTAATAGATTTGATCGTTCAGAACTGTTATCTGTATGTATTCTCTGATCTAAGTTTTGTTTTACTGTGATAAATTTGCTTTAAGGCTTGGAAAAGTAGCATGTAGAACACGTACGAGTCCCTAAGTCCTCAGTTTATTTCAGAGCAATAAAAATGCTTGTGAGTGCCCTAGGGCGTGACACCACTCTTCAATGAGTAAAACCTGCTTTTTTTTTTTTTTTTCAAATCTTAAACTCAAATATTAGCAATGCTGATAATAGTTCTTATTAGCCCTTGCTCTCTTTTCAAAGCATGAAATCCAAGGATAACTGTCAGCAGCATTCTGTCTACCCATTTTAAACACGCCTTTTTAAGATAGCTGGAGAATTTCTAGTTTCTTAGATTCAAACTGATCCGTAAATTAGAAATATAGGATTTGGGGACAATGGCTAAGTGAAAACCAAATTCCAAATTCTCTCATATACCCCACTATCAACTGGCAGCAGTGCTAAGTACTGGACAGTTAAGCATTTATGTCTCCACAAGATATTTGAAATACAGGCCCAGAACAGCAGAAAGCCCTGCACGCACTGGCATCGACTAAATGTGTCACATTGATTTCATTGTCTTTTAGAACAGGAATGAGTGTGGGTCCTCAAAACTGCTCTGGTTGTGTATATAAAGATTTTTGTGTCTTAAGGCGTGTACCTCCATCTTCACACGATGGCGGGATAGAAGAGGCAGTTATATGTGACTAAGGTCTCATTTGCTGCTTTTTCATAGTTCTTCAAATAACTTCCTTACACCATGGACTTGAATAAAGATTATTCATAAACTGACAACTAAATGTAGATAAGTAATAAAAGAAAGCACAGAGAAAGACACGTGCCTCAAATATACTTGTTTAAGCAGTTGCACCTGCTATAAAAATAGTATTAAAGAATCACCATACTCAGTTATGAATTAAGTTGATTCTGTTTTCTCTTCTCATAAAGAAAAGTGAAAATATCCAACCAATTCATTTTCCTTTTCTTTTCTCTTACCTCTCCAACAAACCCCACAGTGACAGTAGTTGGTCATGTGGATCTTTGAATTAAAGACAGCAAATTGTGTTTGCATAGGCCTGACACATAAAGCTCCTTCCAATGCCTTTTTCGGTGTCAGAGCTTTGCTGTGAATGCAACTTCTACTAATTTTTCCTTACTGCAATTGTGAAAAAATCTAATACCTTTGGAATGATATTAAAAAGGCTTACACAGAATAAAATCCCCATTTAATCTTGGCATTATTAAGAAACCTTTTCTTTGAACATTATATGGAAATGCTATTTTTCCTCAAAACACTTTTTTTTTTTTTTTTTTTTTTTTTTTTTTTTTAAATATGAGAAGCTTGAGGAGTTGTAAGAACCAACAGTTTAGAGCATTATCTACATTTGTGGTTTAGAAATGGTGGCAGAGGAAATGTTAGTGAGAATATACATGTGCTTCTTGTGGAATTCTGTGGCAATAAATTGTGAACCCAATATATCAAAAGGTGTGCTGGTCACTGTGTTAGAAAACAAATAAACAAACAAAAAAAAAAAATCCAGAAAAATAGTGGGAACCAAAGACCTAAATTGCTTAAGAATAGGAGAAAAAAATGTTCGCAGTGCATTGTGTATACCAGTTATTTAGATATTGCTTCCACTTCATCTAGCACCATCTTACTACTCACATACTATTATGAAAGCCAGGTTTGGGTAAACTACACTAATTCTGTTTGGTTTACAGTACAGTGTGATCACCAGCAGAAGAGATACAGCTATTCATCTCATTTGTTGCCCCAGTAGCTCTCCTAGTTTATGCACACAAAATTTTGAATACTCAGCTGTGTAACTAACAGGTTTTTTTTAAGTGTTCTTTTTAACAGAAACATGCTATGATTTATACTTACATTTAGACAAAACATTTGAGATGTCTGCTCACAATATAGCTGGAACACTTGTAATGACTTTTTAAGACAAATGAAGGGCAAAATCTGCTTCGTCTGAGATGCCATTGTTTATTTCAGTAGGTGCAGAAGAAGTGCTTTGTGAGCAAAAAGCATTCACCACTGCAGTACTGGCAGATCACTTATTTTATTACATAGATAACATTTCAAAATTAAGCTTATGAGATCAAAATTGAAGTTTAAAATACTGTTCCGTTTTCAACAGGAAGATCTGGAAACAACAGGAAAAGAAAAGTCAGCAGATACCTGAGCAAAACCTCTGCTTTTGGACAACATTAGATAGCAAATTAGATAGCAAAGAAACAGCTGTGCACGAAAAGAAGGTAGAAGTTGGATAGTGAGTCGTCACTACTGATGGTAAAAGAGTAAAATAAATATGAATTGAGCTGAGTTGGAGATTCAAGCAAGATTTATTAAAATTTAAGTCAAAATCCAAATGAGGGATATGCAAATTCATTTCTGTGGAGACCTATTTTGTTTTACCAAGCCCATTAAGATCAAGGCAATTCCTGATTAGGATTTCAGCAATATTCAACTAGGTGGAAACTAGCAAAAGGTTAAAGAAATCAGCAACTGTTATAAAGCCATGAACTTTACCCCAGAAAACATACCTTATCTTTTCAATTAACTTTTCAAGCCCATATTTCTTCCACAGTCTTAGATGTAATATAGATGTCAGCACACACCAGAACAAGCACAAGAACTGGTGTCTCACTTGGGGACAATAGCTACCTGCCAGCTGATGCATGGTAATCTGCTGTTGTGCATGGTCATAGACCACAGCTGCCACATCTACCCATTTTAGTTCAGTCTGGTTTGTTCCTTATGATAACCTATGTTTCAAATGCCTGATATCCCAGAGACTCAGGAGACGTTCTAAACATGAGTAAGGAAGCTGTACTTGAACTGCTTGTAGCATGCACACTGTTATCAATAACATGAAGAGTGATAAAAAAAATGTATGCAGAAAGGGCTACTGGAAATCACTCCAGTTACCAAATAATAGGGTAGCCATTGGAGAAGTATCACTGTTGTCCCTAGTGCTACCTGATTTGGGCTGCCCCAAAAACATTGTGACACTTGACCTGCCCTCAAACTTACCCTTGAAATGAAGTTTCCAACAGATATCTGGTAAAGTTTACATTCTCTCCCAGGCAAAACACATGCATAAACTTCAGTGTTCAGACCTGTCACTTTTCAAAACACACCACCCATTACAGAGTTCACTTGAGGCATACCCTTGTTTTATGTAGGAAAGCCACATGTGTATCTTGTTAAGTTTAGTAGCAAGCAGGATAGTGTGAGCTGTTCTCACTTGTTTAAAGCTATACCTCCCAAATAAATTATTTTTGGCTTTTCTAAAACAGTGTTCTGGTTCTGTAAAGACATCAGTAGCGTGTGCCAGAACTGGATTCTTTCTGGAAACTGTGCCTGAGATATCAGATGATGGAGAAACATTTGAACTCCTTATTTCATGCGCTGGAACAAAACAAGGAAAACATTGTCATAGTTGAATAATCAGAAGCAGCTGGGAAAATTGTCTTCAGATTCTATCATAAATTTTACCTCTGGGCTGAAAAGTCATGTCACCCTACAAGGCAATTGTTTTGAAAAGATATAAGCCACTAAGTGTGAGGACTTGACCGACAGCCATAAACCATGTGCAGGAGGACCTCACACTAGTATAAATGGGAACTGCATGTGCAAAGATAGAGCAGTGTGTGGCCACTGAAGGACAAAGATCATCTCATTCATAACTTAATGGACTACGTGGGAAAAATTCAGAACTGTCACTAGAATTTGGATTTAGGGATAGGCAAAAAAAAAAAAAAAAAGAGGCTCATTCATAGAACCAAACAGAAAAACACTGAAAAAAATAAATAAACAGCAGGCAAGCTCATTGGAAGTCTGTGTTGTGTTTCTCTACCATCTTCCAACATAAGAATAAATGTTTGAACTTCATGCAAATTTTTGATTTGTTGTTGAGAAGAGCTGTAAAAGCCACAGTTTCAAAGCCTAACCACCACTAATAACATAATTCTCTCAGTTTAAGTAGGGCACACAGAGCAAATGTGGAGATGCTCCCTGCGACTTTTGAATGTTCAGCTGGAAACTCTATGAAACTCAGCTGCTTCTCTGATGTGGCAGGTACCAAACTGCTCCTGCAAAATGCAATCCTCATAAACAGGCTACTTCTTTATGAAGTTTAAGCTGCCTCTGGTAGCTTTTGTGCAAAAAAAAAAAAAAAAAACAACAAAAAAAACAGTAAAATCATGACTGAGTCCAAACTCAGGCCTGTTACAAAAACTATCACTCCATTAATTATGAATGGTCTCAAACTTATTCTCTGCTTACAGTGAGAGAGGATTTGCTCCTCCTACCTCCCACTAAAGGATCAAGGATGAAAGAGACATGGAGAGCCTGACAGCCAGTGAACACCAAAGCAAAGAACTTATTGAGTACTTCAACCCTCTCCACGTCTGTTGTTACCACTTTTAACTTCTCATTTCTCAGGGGGGGTACAATCTCCTTGGCCTTTCTCTTCTGGCCAATGTCCCTTATTAGTATTTTTCACACCCTTATCAAGTTCAGCTCTAGCTATGCCTTGGTTTTCCTGGTCCCATCTCTGCACATCCAGATACCTGTATTCTTCTCAAGCCACTCACTTCCATGCAGAATCTCTGAATCACTGAGGTTGGCAAGATGTCTGGATCCATTTGGTTCCACCCCTGCAAAGCAGGGTCATCCAGAGGAAGGTGCTCAGGCCTATGTCCAGGCAGCTTCTGAAGATCTCCAAGGATGAGATTCCACTATCTGTGCCAGTGTTCTGTCACCTGAAAGACTAGGAAAAAAGGAAAAATAAAGGAAAAATAAAAAAGCAGATTTAAATGTTGAGATTCAGAGTGTGTAGATTTCCTGAAGATGAACAACAATTTTCATATATCCAAATACGTCAGGGGACCTATCCGTAAAGGGAATGTCATGTACACTCTTCAAAGAACTTGTAAGACTTACAGAAGATGAAGAGGTATAACTGCCTTGTAACTATCTATGATCAGAGATGTAAGGAATTATATTACCTGTATGAGAATGAGTAATGCATAGGAAATGCTCAGCAGTCTAGGCCAATTTTCACTGTATGCCAAAGCACGAAGTATAGCTCCTCTATAAGAGGTTCTAGGTGGAAACTGTTGACAGCAGGAATAGCACTTTAAACTCAGTATTTTTGTCAGCATGAAGGGTGGACTGATGAGTGCAAGCCAATATCTAATGATGTCATCAGATTCAAACGCACGTTATTTGGTTGGCTAGCTACTACTGGCTTGTGAGTTGCTAATTTACTAAAAAAAAAAAAAAAAATCTAAGCATAAACATCTCCTCCTCCTACAGTAATTACAATGAACTGAAGCATTCTTTTGAAGAGAACAGGCCATAATGGGTTTCCAGACCCTTATGGAGGACATGCCGTAAAGGGTTTGCAGGCACTTATGGTAGCAACAATGTGCTTTTCTCACACATCTCAAATAAGTCTTCAATTGTTTGTTATTCATTTATGATTGTTAGCAGGGGTGGTAAAATTTGCACTAGCCATTTGCCTGAATGTATAATTCCACAGAAGAGTTTTCTTCATGACAGTCTGTATTTACACACTTTTTGTTTGCTCAGTACTGTGAAGGAACTACGTGAAACAAGTAGCTATGGAATTTATTACACTCTCCAGGAGATTAAAGTCAATCAGCTTTTGGCCTTGTGCCCTCACATATATGGTTGTATTTGGAAAGAGAGATTTCAATGCTGTCATCAGGTAACACTGGCTGATGATCAAACCATATGATTTCAGTTTTATTTTTATGTCTTAAGACACTACTATTTATTTCCGGGTGGAAAGATATTTATTTCTTTTTTGCCTACTAGCAGGAAGAGCATATCTGTTCAGTTCCTGAACAACATGCAAAAATTTGTTGCTGTTTGATCACTTTACATCAGGCAGCATGGTGCACATTTAAGACCATATAAGAGCTGTCAGTGTACAGGAATTTTAGATAAGCATTGCCAAAAAGCATAACATACTAGGTGCATTTTTTTTTTTTTTTGCAATTATTCTATCCTTTCTCTTTCATAATGCAACACTATTATCAGATGACTAAGTATGTTCATAAGATGTGCTTAATTAAGCATCACTGCTGAAAGAATGATTATAGGAAATCTCTTTCTCCTGTTCTTTTCACTGACCATGCCAATATGTGACTAAAAAATACAATTCAATTTAATATTATTAAAATGTATATGATTGTATACTTAGTATTTTGTTGTCTTCTATGGTGCCTCATTATTGCTATACGATATACTAAGAAGCTTAAGTAAGAAGCTTAAGAAGTGTATGTGTATAATCTTCCACTAAAGCCTTCCAATAAATAAAACATTTTTGTCATAGAATGTATTTTGTAGTGAAATAGCCTCAGAAAGTTAAAAACCAAGCAAAATAAAACATTTTTAAATTGACTTCCTCACATTTGTCGATTTAATAAACCGTTGTTGCCCTCTAGTGTTCAAACATGGCCCACGTTCCCCTACAGAATGTTCCCGGCTGGTCACCTAGTAAACCCATTTGCTCCAAGAATGCAAATGAATGGGAAAATATATATCCCTATGTGCAATGCTAAGGGAAGCTGTTGATGCTCTATTCCTGGAAGTGTTCAAGGTCTGGCTGGATGGGGCTTTGACCAACCCGGTGTAGCACAAAATGTCCCTGCCCACGGCAGAGAGGTTGGAACCAGGTGATCTCTAAGGGTCCTTCCAACTCAAACGATTCTGTTTCTATACTTATTTTCAATGTATGCATTAACATTTAAAGTTACAAAAAGACCACTCAGCTCAGCTTTCTTACCGAGTTAGTCATGATACACATGCAACTCACTGGTTTACTTCTGCCACTCATAGTGTATGATATTATGTTGGCTGTTTTGGTTAGAAGACGTTACCAGTGATGTTAACCAAATACATGCCCCATGCTCTGAATGACCCTACAGTTTGTCTGCCCTCTTTCTCTAGAATCTGTGTCCACTGCACTGTACTGCCTGAATTACTATCAACAATCTCTACCTCCAACAAAATTTTTATTATGCTAGAAATGCACAGCGATGATTCAGGAGCTCTTTTCAATACCTCTCCTGCAGTAAGTTGCTACGATGGCATAGACAATGTAGAAGGCTTCTCACTAAGCTGTAAATCTTTAGATAAAACTACAGTTAATCTCAGATTCAGACCTGCATTTTACATATACCAGACCCAGCACTTGCAATTTCCTTAACTTGCTTCCCAGAAATATTTTCCATCTTTATCATATTCCTCGACCACAAAACTTTGAAACTAGCTGATTTAAAAAAATAAACATAAAAAAAAGCAAAGGATAAACGAAGTGCAGTCAACAGACCAGCTAATCAACTTGAGATACTTCTGCAAATTTATTCAATTCTAAGATATTATCCAGAGCGTTTTTTATGTAAGCATTGTCAGACAGAAGTAATGTAGAAAAAAGTTTTTGTATCTATAAAGTAACTTGCAGCCTCCATACAGCAAGAGTTCAACTTCTTGACATAAGGAACACTGACTTGTCTTTGAATAATGTAATTTTCAGAGAATTTTCTGCATAAAGTTATTGTTAGAGCTCCCAAAAAACTTGCCTTGAGGCCATTTTTAGATCATGACTGCTTCCTGCTGCAGTAAACTTGACAGATCTAAGAACCTCTTGGATGTGAGTTACTTATCATATTTTGTAACATAATTATTTGTTCCTATTCTTAAGGCACCTTTCCTTCTCTATCTTGATGTTTGTAGTTGATTATGCTGCCTCCCACAGATAATATCTAGGGTTTCATTCTGAAAACAGATTAAGACTGATCATGGTGTGGAAAAAAAGTGAGTTTGAACTGGAGGTTCAAACACTGGATGCTTACAGGCACTCTCATTTGCCTCTTATTCCAGAGGCAGGGAAACATACAGAGAAGCCGTGCTCACTACCGGTCATATGAACATGATGCCAGAAGTAAAAAAGATGTGCTTTGAGAACATGTAGAGCTCTACCCAGAGTTCTAGAGCTCTGATTAATGTTCATAAAGGTCTGAAGGGAGTTGGGAGGCAAATGGATGAGGACAGGATCTTCCCTGTGATGTGTAGTGGTAGGACAAGGAGAAATGGCCTAAATCTTGTATTTAGGAAGTACCATACAAACATACAGAACTTCTTTACAGTAAGGGTGATGGATCGGAATAAGTTGCCCAGGGTTTGTGGACTGTCCTTCTACAGAGATATTCAAGACACATGTGGATGCCTACCTGCGTGTTCTACTGTAGGGAACCTGTTCAAGCAGGAGGATTGGACTCAATGATCTCTTGAGGTCCTGTGATTCTGTGTGTGCTTCTATCATCTCTAGCCCTGTTGCAAGCAGTGCTTTTAAGAGCCACCAGACTGGTGAGGGAAATAAAAGAATGCTAGAAACAGAAAGATAATGCAAAGTTGTTTAAGGTAATGCTTCTCTGACTGCAGGAAATATCTCTGAGTTTGGGACTCTTGCACAACACATCCATCAATGTTACTTAATACTTTCTTAATTCCCTTCAATCTGTCTAGATATTCAAGAACTAGAAACCATACTTTTTCTGTGTCCTCTGCTGATAATACAGCTGTTGTCTTTGCTCAGTTCCTTCACAAGTTTCCATCTGCTCTACAATTAATTGTTGTTTCAACTATAATAGGTTTAAGTATAGTAGAACAGATTGTCTGGTATACACCAAGTTGCTTGCTTGTGCTATTTGACATGGAAAAAAATATAAAGATTCCAGCTTTGTTTAACTAGATATGATAAAAACTATTTGACATATCCTGCAAAGAATCCTGCTAGAGGGTGGTGCTCTCTTCAGAAAAGGCAAACTAAAATTTGCAGCAGGTGGTTTTAAGTATAGCTTATGATTTATGCACTTGGAAGCATTCAAGATAAATATCAGTGAACACAATGTAGCTAAGGAAAGTTAAGCCAAACATGTTTTGAATATAACAGTTTACTCCTTGTACCTAAAACCATTTTGATGCTATATACTACTACCCAATACTCACTTAAGGCTCAGATAGAGTATACAGGATGCCATATACACTTACATGATGCCAGACTTGTGTAATACTGATGTACTTGGAGGCAAAAAACAGTGAAAGTGCTCATGTGCTGCACAATTAACTAGGTCAAATTCTATTCTGCTAATCTAGTCACAGACCATACTCTTGAAATTATTTTTCTCCTTAAATACGAGAACTTCTTTGCTTAGCTTGAGTGTCTGCACTTAGGATTTGATACTAACTCAAATGATAGGCATTATAATTCAGTCTGAAACAGCAGTTCTCTTCCCCACCAAAACCATGTGGCCACTGGTGACCAAAAAAGGAATGCATCCTCGTCTGAGATTTCGTATCCACTCTTCACTTTCAGAGTAGTTCTCACAAAGATGATAAATGCTCCTAACAATCTATTCCCTGTCCTCCATCATACATCGGCATACATTCCATTGATCAAATAATCCAACCTGGTATATTGTCTCTTCTGAAGAGATTCATGCATTTTCTTCCCTGTGATTGCAATAACTAAGAGCAAGAATATCACCCCAAAAAGTAAAGCCACTACAAGTCTGTTTTTGTCTTCCAGCTGAACAAAGCCTTTTCTTCTCTGAACGTACTCTGAGAGGTGGTCTTCCGAATCAGATGGGTCATAACCCTGATGGTTGTTTTGGGAAGCCATTGGGGAAGCACTAGTAGAGAGAGCAAAACTTGAAAAAGAGACAAGGGTAACATGACTGGTATAACTGGCAGAGACAACTGTTGGCTCAGGAGGTATGGATGAAGTTCTGAGCCCTGCTGAGCTCGTGGCTGTTACAGGATTTGAGGTCACCCACTTGGCTGTAGAACTAGAAGCAGAAGTTGTAGGACTGGAAAGGAAAACATGAGTAGCAGCAATCTTGGCAGCAGGGATACCAGGTTCAGCTCTAGCAATTGCAGTAAGCATAAAGGTTGTTGTCCTAGTGACAGTACCAGCTTTGGCACCACCTGTAAACAAAGAAGTTGTATGAGATTTCAGTCTGACAGTACTTGTAGGCAGAGGAGTAACAGTAGTACTGCTGGGACTGGGAACATTAGACTCAGTGGTGGGGAACAAAGCAGAAGGGTTTCCAATTTGAACAGTAGATGATGTATTTGGTGGTGGATTAATTACTTTCTGCCTTGGCAAGGGGTCTAAACTCTTGGGATTGTCTGCCCTTTGTGACTCAGGGAAAACTGTATGAAATTCAGTGCTGTCTACATGTTTATCCATATGGTTCAGGAGTTCAGATGCTTGATGAAAAACAGATTGATGCAAAGCAGGGGTATGATTCTGATGGCTAGCCTGACTTTGAGAAATAAAAGCTCCGGCATCTGAAGGTACAGAGCGTTCATTTGAATTGAAGTCCTCATTTTTGAAGGATGTGTCCTCCAGAGCATGGGTGTCTGTAAAGAGAAAGGAAATATCAGTATTCAATTGCTGAATCTATTTTTAATTACCACAGGCTCACTCTAATTATTTATATTGTAAAGGAATAGCATTATCAGAGGGCTTCAGAAAGTAATGAGTAAACAAACAGAAGCATCAAGATATTTTATTTAAAGTATGCAGTGACTTTTATGTTGTCTGTGTCATAAGACCTATTAATCTCAAGCTGGAACACATCAGACCCCAACTGCAGCTCCTTAAGAGAATTTACCTATGCAAATCAGTCATTCCTGTATGTTTTGTACTCATATGGCATGCATATGATTCTTCAGAGGTGTGAAGTACAGTAAGTATGCCCACTGCCTTTAAACTATTCCAGTCCCTGTCAAATTAAGAAGATACAATCAACCTCGCTTCCGTCAGATGTACGCACTTCTATGCAGCCAAAAACAAACATCCCATGACTGCTTAATAGGATTCACTTCACATATAGGAATTGCTTTATGATAACAGGTGGTAATAGTATCCCCACCTGAGCGGAGGGAAACTAAGTGACTTTTCCAGAATCACTTGAAAAAACAAGGGCAGTTTAGACATTTTGATGACAAGTCTCTTGAGGTCCAAGGCCTCCTGGCATTAGCATCTGCAAGTACTCTACTCCTTAGATTTCACATGTCTGCAACATTCTGATATTTTACGACACCGATGAGGTGTCCTTGGAGCTTCTATTTACAGTGGAAAGAAGAAGGAGTTCCTAATTTTTGTGACATTTTTCTTTCTCAACTGTAAGAAATTGTTGGTATTCCTACAAATGTATCATACAGAGCAGGAGATCAGCCCTGCTGAGTTTGCAAAATACATTTCTGGTCAAAGTACTTAGCCAAAGAATTTAAAATTGTATGTTTCCATGTTGCCAACACGTTAAATGAATATTGCCACTACAAAGAATTCAGAGGTTTTAATGTCTTTCTGAGAGTGCAAACAACTATCGTATACGTACTCTAAGTGTGTGGTAATGACAATGAACTCCATTCTTTTCAGTATCATGGTAACTTTTGAATATAGAGCCAGCTTTCGTCCAACAGTTTACCAGTCCAATCTGTCCCAGCAGATGGAAAGTTACAACTATACCACTCACTGGTAAAGAATGAGTAGTCAACTAATCTTTTCTTGTCATCAGATTTATCAAATGTCCATTCTCCCATCTTCCCCAAGACAGCACACATCCTGATTTGTAGGAAAGCCCTGAACTCCAACTATCATGCTAGAAGAAAGACACTTCAGGAGTCTCTGGTGTATCTGAAGCCTAGATTAGAGAGACATTTTTGGTGAGCATGAGTTCTTGGAAAAACTGGCTAAGTGGTACAGGCTGCATTCTCATTGTTACCACTCAGTAGCCACCCAAAACATTAAAGATGGAATGTGTTCTCATTCCTCTTCAACATGAAACAAAAAGGTTTGTTAACTGCACTGGAGTTTAAAGAAATAATAAAAAGTCATTGATGTTTTCATTGTCACTTCCTTCTCAAGTAGAAACTCATATCTAAAGGAATTAATTTATTTCAGGCTTATTATACATGCAAAGAAATCTAACAGGCTGCTGTCAGAAGATATATTTGCAAGCCCTAAATTCTTCCAAAAACTGAAGTGAAAAAAAAGGGCAATGCTTTAAATAAGAGGACAGCAACTTGAACTATAGACACCAATTTTTATCCTAACCTTCCCTAGTTTGTTAGCAAAGTAAAGGAATAAGCTGACAAATAACAGTGTTCAGGCACTACATAATCAGAAGCTGTATGGCCAAAGACAGCCAAACTCTCAGCTGCAGTCTGCAGTTCTGAACACGTTTCCACAGCATTGAGGAAATGGCCTGTCACAACCACTGAGTCAGTCACCAACACGTTTTTCCTTGTTCCCAGTGCACTCCGATAGCCTCCTCCATGCATTTAAATAAATAATTGACGCAGTGTGACAACCATTTGCAGCGTGCTATGTCATCTTCAGCTCACTCACCTCAGCTACAGCTAGGAAAATGGGCAGTATTCATGCAGGGTTCAAAGGGCAAAATATGGAGGCAAGGCAGTGATGAGTCCTGCACAGGAGTTAAGTATCTGCTTCCCTGCAGCACTGAGATTAATTAATATAACTGCCTTGTTTTACTAACACTACTTTATTTTCAGCTTTAAACTAACTGTGGTCTTGGTCTTCATTTTAGATTATACGCTCCCAAACACTACTGCCCATAACTACTGTGCTGTAGTTGCTGTAGGTGTAGCTGTGGCACTAGAACAGATACACTTGTTGGCAAGAAAGAAAAAGGGCATTACAGAAGACAACCTTTAAAAAGAAATTAAAAAAACAAAGTGGTCCTGTTGATATCTCAAATCCAATGAACTGCATTAGAAACCAAACCTCAAACTGTCAATCTTAAAAAACAAATAAACACCTCCTGAGCATACATGGATTGTATTCATGAGTTCTATGTGGCTACCTCAGTGCAGTGGAAAAAGCAAACTCCGCAGAAGTACAGCAAAAAAGCAGGCATTATTTCTTTTTCAGCAATCACTATTTGCGACAGCAATCAGGAAATGCTTTACTTCCCAAGACAGAGGTTGTTTCCAGTAGTTAACAAGCTACAAGAATAGTTTAAAATCAAACAAACAAAAAACAAACCAAAACCAACCAACAAACAACATAAACAATTTTGTTACTAACACAATTTCAGTATTTCAGTGTACTTTTTTAGCAACAGAATATATTTATCCTTTTAGTTTAGTATATAGAACATAGTTTAGTTCTACGTAATCACATGAAGATTCTCATATATTAAAACAACAACAACAACAAACAGAAAAAAACACACAAAGCTTCAAATGTTTGTCAGTACCAACACCACCATGTGCTGCTACCTTTGAATGCTTACCAGGAACCTAAGGTAAATAAGCTAACATCATCTTTATGATTAGCATTAAGTGAGCATTACACTATCTGCATGACAAAAGCTCACGCACAATTAAGTCTTCCTTCTTTCTCTGCATTCTTTATGTTCAAACAGGTCTGGTGCAAATCAATGCCAATCAGCAACTAAGTCTTGCTATTAAAAATGCTACAGCACGTGACAGGCAGTGAGAAATTTGTGACTGCAAAGCCCCAGTGCCATAAAGCTTTGAGATTAGTCAGTTTGCATCTGTGCCTCAGGTTCCGTAACTGAAAACAGAAAATAATGATTATTATCATCAATTACTCACTAACATCCCAGTGGTGCTCTGAGGCTTGCCTAACATCTGTGTATATATGGTATTTATCAGAGTTGCATGAATCCTTTGAATGCACAGATGGCTACAAGGGCATCCTATTTCTATTGCTTTCAACAATGCCCTTACATGTTATGTACTAGAAATTTTCCATGGACAGAATACACTGAGATGGATAAAGCCTCTTTTTTTTTGTTTTAAACAAAGGAAAACTATGAGGAGTTCAGAATTTTATGTGAAGGAATTTCATAATGGTTAGGCCTGTGTAGATGCAGACCACACACTTGCCTAACCACCTCCCACAAAGCACAAGAATAGTATTTTCAAATTAGAGCACTTGGTTTAAAACGTTTTACTAAAGATGCAACTCTGAACCATTATCTAGCCACTGCTGAAAAGTCACGGGGGATAATGCAGTGTGGGGATTTGTGGCTTTTACTGTTACACATACTTACCTTGAGCTATCTTGTAGCTCACAAGCCCCATTGCAGGTTTCATAGGACAAGCCTCTGTGCTAGGACAATAAAACAAGTAGCAGTTTGGTTGTGTGCTTGTCCTTTGAGCATCAAAAATCACAAAGTTACATTTCTTGTCTCCTGCAAAAGAACATACACACATTTCAGTAACAAGAACTTTTATAGCATCTTGATAATAAATTCTGGTTTGCTAAAAAGTAAAAAATTCTGGTTTTCCTTCCACAAATAAGAGAAAAACTACCTACATCTAGCATTCCTGTGGGAAAAACAACACAGGACTGCAGAAGAATGGCTGAAGGCCAGCATATGAAAGGTTACACCTTCCTCTTCCTGTACAGATGAATATGTGGAAATAACGAGTCTAACCTCTTATTCTCCCCTCACCCACACCATGCTGGCAGCACTTTATATAATGATTTTTTTTGCTTATGAATCCCGATAAATCTGAACATTTCCTCAATGTATCTGTGGATATGCACTTTTTCCATCAGTTATGGGTAACTTTTATACACTGTCATTTCTGCGTGCTGCTGTATCTCCTACCACTCTAAAAGCCTGACAAAAATCAGCAGTTCCAGGGCAGTGAAAGCATTTTCATTTCTGGCTAAAACCAGTGTTACTTTGTAGTGTGTCTGCTGAAGCGATGCATGCAGGTCTGAGTGGCTTTAATACTCAAAGCTACCTCCACTGTACCGCACTTACTTTCTGGAACACATTGACATCAACACTCTGGCATCACATTAGGCCGGGACAGGCAGCAGCCGCATGCCACAACTACTGGCAGTGTAAGTGGCAGAGAAATGAACATTTTGGTCCTGAGCACAGCAGAGTCCCTCGTCCCTCGCCCCTTTCCTATGCGAGCCCGGGCAATTCTGTAAGTAATCTCCTCAATGTTCATAAGCAGTAACAGAAAAGGCCAGAGAGAATTCGGTTACCTGACAGTTTTTTTCCCAAGCAGCAGGCATGTATGCAAGCCTCTGGTGTTGAAACGTGCACTGGTTCCGCACCTCGGATACCCATGGGGAGAGACAAGTTGATATCGATGATGGCGTTGTCCATTCGCTGCGCGGCACAGCCCTGGCCCACGCTCGGCGCAGGCATCGCGCAGCTGACGGCCAGCAGGCAGAGCGGGAGACCGCGCACAGCCATGGCCGCCTGCCCGCCTGCCCGCCCGCCCGCGGCCCGCCACTCCCGCTGCCCGCCCGCTCCTGGGCCGCCGGCTGCCGCGCGTCCGGGACAAGGGGCGGGGCGGCCCGGCGCCGCCTTGCTGCCGTGGGCTTGCGGCTCCCGCGAAGGGTCGAAGGGTCGGGTGTCGGTGGGTTTTTACTCAAAGCCGCGATGAGAGCCGTCCTTGAGGCTGTAGCAAAAGCAATTAATATGCATATCCTGGTCTAAATGTATTCGTGCTTACTTCAGTGCTTGTGTAAGACTGTCTTGGCTACCTGAGTAATCCTGTTCAAACCATAGCAAAGATAGGCGGCGTTTGCTGAATGGGAGCCGTGCAGCAAGGGCTAGGTGCTGGCAGTGCTGCCTGACAAGTGCAGCGTTCCTTCCTGAGCAGCCTTATTGCTAGTGTTTGCTTAACTCATGTTTGTACTTTGAAAATTTTCGGTTCCTCTTTTTTCTTTTTTTTTTCCTTCTTTTTTTCCCTCTTCCCCTCTCCTGCCCCCCCCCCCTCCATCACAGCAGTGTTCAGGCATAGAAGTGGCCCAGAGAGTAAGGAACGCAAGGAAGCAACAAAAGAACTGTGCCACATATTCCTTCTTCTTCAGGTATCTCATCCTGCATCATACCTACAATATCATTGCTATGATTGTAAATAAAATGTTTGTTCCTTTTGAGGCAGTCCATTACATGAACAGTTACCAGAGAGCAGGTTATTTCACACAGCAATTGTAAAACAAAATGATAACAGTCCGATCATTTCTCTTTTGGTCACCTACTCTCTGCTTTAATACAATAAACTTAAACCTCTGGGACACAGGTTGAATGTCTGTAAAATTCAGTTAGGATTTTTTGCTTTTCCAAGGCATGTTTGAGATCCCCGCTTGGAGGTGTGCTGGCAGCAGCAGCATATTCTGCTTCACACTGACTTGCTGCCTTCTGTGCTGTTTCAAAAATCAAGGCCCATGTCAGAGAATGGTCAGCAACTTTATTCTTCACACTCATTCAGCTGGGAGTTGACTTTTATAAGGGCATATATGTAAAAAGTGACACTACTACTAGTTACACAATTAAAACACCATTCAGTTTCAAGTAATCTATTCCTGTCAAACACTGAATATATAAAGTAATAAAGGACAAACAAAACGGATAATAACTAGATATTTGCCAAGGCCCTTATGTTGTATGGATCATGGCCAGATAAACATCAGATTTGTATGCGTTAATGTAACCACATACAACTGCACACTGTGTAGTTTCAGGTACACTGACCTAGCTGTTGCAGGACAGTTGCAGGACACAGCAGAGGATTTGTTTTGCCACACTGGGGGCAAAAGAATTAATTTGCATGACAACTACATTCAAATATAACTTTACTGTAATAATGTTTTCAATAATAAAACTTTATATAGCAGAAACACACATTGGTTGATAGGTAAGCTAAATATCAGAATTGTGGATCATAAATATTTTCCAGGGGCAGTAAGATACTACATATTCACACATCTACAATAACAAACAAAAGCACAAAACAGAGGAGCTGCAAAGTGTACTTGACAAAACACCCAGAAGTCTGTAACATAGAAGTGCAAATGAAGCTAACTGCAAGCTAAATATGCTGCATTAAATTTAGCTAATCTGTCTGAGAGTGGTGGATAACTTTGCATGCCTTTATGGCAAGCACTGGTTGGGTTGCAGCTCGGCAGACATTACATGCTGCCTTTGAATACTGCCACTGAAGCTACTCATGGATGACTTTAATACTGTGTGTGAATAGTGCAGGTTCAGAACTCAGCTTTCTAAACAGGGTTGTGCCAACAACAGTTTGTTCTCCTTCCTAGTAATCACATTTATTTGAAAATATTTAGTTGTTGTTTTGGCAGGAATTAAGCAGTTGTAGCTAAAAGATGTGTTGTTGGGTTACAGCTAGTAAGGCACAGCCTGCAGCTGCCAGAAGAGGTGCTGGACGGAGTTTTTTTCTCTGCAGCCCACATGTAGGTAACAGATGTGCAGTTCTCACAAGACAGGAGGGGGATTTTTATATTAAATTAAATCTTGGCAAGAATTAGTGAAGGCAGCCAGGAGAGGTAATGCATTCGCGGTTGACGGTTGAGGTTAAGACTTGCACAGATGTTGTGCATCGTTCAGGAGTGGAGAGTAGACTCGTTTAGAAGTTAGCATGTGCCAGAACTTATTTGTGGGCAATTCTTCTGTCAGAGGTAAGTATGTGGCTTCTTTGCTGATCTCACTGTAAGACATGAACATAACAAGTCAAAGTGTCAAAGTAGGTTTCCTTCTCCCTTTGATTTGCTTTTTTGCTCAATTTAAATCATCTGGGAACTTTCAGTCTGGGACACCATTTGTTCAGCCCTGTCCATGACAAACACAGTTGGTGATGGTGCCCCTTGCATGCTGCTAGCTGGTTGGTTATCTAGCATCAACCAACATGCTTTAGCTTTCAAAAGGTGAGAAAAAAAAGACATAGGAGAACAGTATGACCTGACTGAGCACGTGCTATTATTGGGTGGTTTGGGATAGCTGGGGTGTTTTGCAGCCTTGCCTTTGATTGCCATGAATATCAGCGCTGATAATTAAAAATCTAGATTAGCACTATCTCCCCCAACCCCCTACTCTCAGGGAGGCCAGACAGGGCAAGCAGAAGCGGGCCTGAGGGGAGCAGAGGCCGCTGTGAGCCGCGCTCCCCACCGGTAAATCCGCCCCAGGGCCGAGCACCAGACTCCGCCCCGCCCCGCGCACTGCGAGCAGCGGCAGCGCCTCGCCCGGCGCCTTTAAGCGGAGCTCCGCCTGCTTGCCGCGCCACGCCGGGCGGGGCCCGCTCCTGGCGCGGAGGCTAGCCGGCCCAGCCGGAATCCCGGGCGGCCGTGGGGGCAGCGTGGCCCTGCGTTGCAGGGTGGCGGGCAGGAAGGGAGTCGGCGCAGCGCGTTGCATTGCGAGCGCCGTTGGTGTCGCCATGGGAGCGGAGCAGAGCGCGGAGGCCGAGAGCCGCCCGGGCGAGCCCAGCGCCTCAGGTCGGTGGCGGCGGCTGCCCAGCTGCCCCGCTGGGCCGGGGCTGTAGGGAAGCTACGGGGCCGAGTACGTGCGGGAGGGGCTCAGCGGTGCTGTAGGGGCGGAGGAGGCTGTGGGGTGGGGAAGGGTTTGGGTGCTGGTGTCGCTGCAGGACGAGGTGACCTGTGGTAGTACTGACTGATAGATGCGTGCTGGGGAAGGAGGTGCAGCAGGCATGGCAGATGCGAATGGGAGCCACGGTGGGCGCCTCGCTGCTAGGCGGGGTGCTGGGTCCGGTGGATGTGAGGATGCTGACCTCGGTGGGGAGAAGTGGGAGGGATCATAGAATCATAGAGGCTTGGGTTGGAAGTGACCTTAAAGTTCATCAAGTTCCTCCACTCCTGCTGTTGGCAAGGTTGTCAACCACTAGATCAGGTTGCCGAGAGCCCTATCTAGCTTGGCCTTGAATGCCTCCAAAGTTGGGGCATCCACAACTTCTGTGGGCAGCCTGCACCAGTGCCTCACTGCCCTCTGAATTAGGGGGAAAAAAGTAAAATCACAGAATGGCCAGAGTTGGAAGGGGCCTCAAGGATTGTGCATCTCCAACCCCCCTGCCACATGCAGGGCCACCAGCCTCCACATTTAGTACTAGACCAGGCTGCCCAGGGCCCATCAAAGTACCTGAATGTGAACGATAAGGAGTATGTAAGAGCTCTTACTATAGTAAGAGCTCCAAATGTATTTGAATTTAAGTTATTGAGGTAAATCTTTCTTATAAAGGTATCTAAAACTATAAGAGAGCATTACTGCTGCAGCATAACAAAGACAAATAAAACCTTTGTTAGTTTCTGCCTTCTGCCTTCATGGCAAACATGTAAGGTTATCCCTAGAGTCAGAAGGCAGCACATCCTTAATCAGCATTCTGTTGTCTCCTTCTGAAAAACTTTGTTGAATGGAGTGTGTACATTACCAGAGAGAGAATGAGAAGGGAGAGGACAGCCTGTGGTTTCAGAGATTTATGTTATAGAAAACATACTTGCACAGCATTAAATGTGATATCGTTCTCACAGGGTTAAATTCAGATGGAATCTATTTATTAACTTGATTGTTTCTTATCCTTTCTCCCTTTGCTTTTCCAGCATCTCCATCCCCAGCTAAACAACGAGCAAAAATGGATGACATTGTGGTGGTAGCCCCAGGAACGCAGTCTTCACGGAACGTGAGCAATGATCCAGATGTCATAAAACTGCAGGAAATTCCGACGTTCCAGCCCCTTTTAAAAGGTGACTGTTTCTTCTCTGTTTTTAAAGGCCCTTTTTTCTGTGTGTGTGCCAAATAGAGTATGTGCATTGTGTATCTTGAGGTTCCTGCTGAAGCTTGTTTCCATCCATGGTTTTTGCTACCTTGCCTTTGTTTTAAACTGTACTTTTTTTGTCTTTCATAATTATTTCCAACCTTCTACTGATGTATGAACTAGAGATGTGCTAGTAATGATCTCTGTAGTAGAACCACCTATTGTGCAGACAGGACGACTCCAGGTTTCCCAGATGGCCAGTACCATTTGGTTGAAAGGATGTGCTAGTATGCTGCAGACTACAGTCTCTAGTTTTGTTCTAGGTTCTTAGAAACACTTGTGTGTTACTGTCTCAGACTAAAGCTACGTGCTCTTGGATTCAATTACTTGAAATCAGGATTTATTCTTGAGGTTTCCAGTCTAGAGTAGATTGTGTCCTTGGTCCTTGTTTAGGAATGGGGAAAACTGTCCATGTGCCTCGTGGCCTAGCCCTGGCTATCTCTCTCTCTCTATTTTTCTCTCTCTCTGGAGGCTGTGCAGAGCGTCTTTCCTGTTACCTGAAAGTCTCTTGGAAGAAAAATGTATGGAGCAGCCTGCATGAATTGGACTGGTAGCAGCAGCCAAGTCCTGGCCTCTTTCTCTTCCTGTAACAACATGGGTCAGCAAATGTGTGTGAATACATTATGTAGTGAACACTTAGGGAACCAATGGTTTTGAAAGTTTGAGTTTTAGTGTATGTATGTGCATTGGCTGGATTTCTTGTGTGTGCTTTGTAGGCCTGTTGTGGCAGTGAGGAGATTGTGGGCTGCTGGTCCTTGCTGCTAAAAGGAAGTGGTTTTGTACAACTGAAGGTTTAGGCACTGCTTGCCACTGATCCATGCATAGCTGGTGGGAAGATGTGGTAGCTGCTTTGCCCTGTAGGCACTGCTAGGGAGGATGTAACATTGCTATTCAGATGAACTCTTCACTTTATTTATTTTAACATCAAACATTACTAGGACTTGTGGACACTATGACAGCCCAGTGGGCGAAATGTCTGGCATTTTATTGGGTAGTACCAGAGAGGGATCTTGGGTCTATGTGACACTGGCAGTACTCTTTCCAGCAGGAGTTGAAAGAGAGGATGCTACTGAATACGATAAAAACAACCACTGATGTTTTTAGGGCTAGTATTACTGTCCCTCTTGACTAAGGAGAATGTGTATTGCCTATACCTTTTCTGTGTTTGTTTGTTTTCTTTAACTCTACGGACAGTGACGTCGTAGGAATCTGTGTTTTGACGTATTCCCAACACTTTTACTACCATTTTAGAACTGGCTGTGAGATTGCTGAAGTTGGTATTGCACTTTCGACAGAATGTTTGTTGCTTGTGTCCCGCCTTGCACTAAAGGCAAAATCAAGATCTCCTCAGTGACAGCTTGCAACGTAAGTGCTGAAACTGAAATTCACAAAGGGAATAAGGAAGCTTTAATCTAAGAGGTCAGATTTGTAAGATTGGGTATTTGTGGAACATGTGAGCGTCGAACTGTGTTTGCACAAGAACTATGAGAGTCCTGGCAAGCAAAGCTGCAGTCACTTCCAGGGACATGGTTCCTATGTAGGTGCTGAGAACTAAGATGGCTTGGGGTGGGAAGTGAGAAAAGAGAGGTAGCAGCAGCCATCTGGCTGAGAGAGACAAATTGGACAGTCACCAGTCCAGACTCTTCAGTAAATATGCATGCATACATTAAGATATTTAATGGTTTGTTGTCTTTGTTGCTAAGTTGCATTTGCTTTTGTTGCTTTTGTTTTGGATCTGAAACTAAATAAAAGAAAGCTTCTGTTCCTTTTGTACCACTTGATCTGCTGAGTCCCTTAAGATGTGGGGACATCTGGTGACTGCTTATTAGCATTGCATTCCTAATTGTATTGACTAACGTGAAGAGATTTTGCATCTTCAGATACACCATTGCTTGAACAACAGGACTGTGATCTGAGCTGAGTCTTTAGAGATCCCAGGTATGCCACAGGCGTGATGGAGAGCCCGTTCTGTTTTGGATTGGTTTCTTTGTTCTTCACAGGCAAGACCATGTTCCTGGGATGGATAAAGAAGGGTACTGAGTTCTCTTGTGTTTTGATCCTAAAGCTTGCGTCTCATGAGCAATCGACTTGGAGAGCTTAAAGCATGAACTGATAGCTCTTTTGGGATTGGCTATAATTTTCTGTTTGCCCTTGGCTAAGCAAAACTAAGGGATTTTCTTCTCAAGTCTCAGAAGAAACCTAATGATTAAGTTAATCAATTGGGAAAGCACGTTATCAGCAAGAAACTGCGTTTTTTGCAGGACACAAAACACTGAAAAGCCAAAGCACATGTCTCTCCTAGCCATTTTGAATTGATCTTGTTGTGACCAGTACCCAAACTTACAATAAAATGACAGTGTCATGTCCATTGCATCTTTTATACTGGATTTACTTTGATTTCTTTGGAAAAATCCACACGCTATCCACACACTGGAGTTTTATCAGCTATGATGCCATGGGATTCTTCTTAATTATATTTGTCTTCTCCAAACTTCTGTGGTAATTACTGAGCATGTATAATAAACAGTGTTTGAGAGGTTAGAGTTTAAGCATTTGTTGATTCTGGTGTGAGGACCTGTCAGATAGTTATTCAGTAAGCTGAATATTACTATATTGAATTGGTGGGATAGCTCTTAGAATGGTGGGTGAGTCAAAGACTGGAGTGTAATTTTTCTTTTATATGCTGGGGAATATCTTCATATCTTCTTCAGTGCTACATTCATTTGGACAGAAAGGGGTGAGTGCTACCAGATGTGGTTAGGAAATCATTCCAGTGGATGCCTTTTGTATTGCTATTCACAAAAGTCAAACACCAATCCTGCTCAAACAGAGGAAAACATTTGCTTAGAAAGGTACACCTGGGAGATAGATGCCTGTTTTTCCATATTAAGTGCTGTATGTTTGGGGTACAGAGAGGTTGAGTGTGCAGACTTCTAGTAGAAATACTAGGAGAGAATTTCACTATTTGAGAGTGTGTTTGTTAATTTTTGAGCAGTGAGGAAAATACAGAATCTAAACTCCTGAGAGCAACGGAGTGTCCAATGAGAGTACTCCTTTGAGTCATTCATTCCCTGTAGGAACTACTTTGTTATACAGAATGAAATGTGATATGCTGTTTCTTTCCTTTATGTTGCTTCTTGAAGGTATGCATACACCAATGAAGCTGCTTCTGTTTAGTGTCCCTGATACTTGCAGCCTGTTTATAGCATAAAGTCATAACCAGCTGTGTGTAAAAGTCCTCATCTGTGAATTCCAGAGAAAAGTTGATATTTTGCACATGGAATATTCAATGTGTTTTTTTTTTGTTTGTTTGTTTGTTTTAACCTGTGCAAATTTTCTTGGTGAAATAAGTTGAGTGCAATAATGATTTATTGTTGTAAACTTCCCAAAGCTCTCGAGAAGGGTATTTAGTTCTTTTTTCGTGTGTGTGTTGTGGAAGCAAAATTCTTACTACATTCTTCCAGAGGAAATCATCTCTCTCGAAGTTCAAGAAAGACTGAGATCTGTCTTTCTGGTAGCAGCACAGTGTGACGTTAAACAAAAAAAAGGCAGATAAATATAAAGGATGTGTTGATGCATATTAGCAACATAAGAGTAAATGTTCAAGAGCTAGTCATCCAAATACAAATGTAATTCCTATCTTGTGCAAAGGCCAGCAAGATCTTTATGCAAACAGGAGGATGTGGATGACTGGAGTTTGTTGTCTGAGGACTCTGTGCGGCTGTCCTGAAGTAACATACTCTAGACATCCTAGCACAAAGTAAATCTAATGAGTTTGGTGGCGTTTTGTGCATGGTGGTTTTTTTTTTTTTTGTTTGGTTGGTTTTTTGTTTGTTATTGTAAGGAAGACAACATAATTGATGCCCATTTGTGGCATTCCTCTTTCAGGAGAAACAATTCAGCTTTCAGTGGCTTTGGGTCAGCTGGAAAGCATAAGGCTCCCAGGTTTGTATTAGAAGAAAAGTTATGTTTCTTCATAGGTAGTTGACAAGAAATATCACAGAGATATTCTAAGATGCAGCGGTTAGGTTGTTGGTACGCTTTGGAAACTTGAGGTACAAGAGGATGTCTTGAAGACTTGTGTGTATGATGGATCTTGAAATAAATTTAGTCTGTATTTGTTCTTTGTAGGTAAATTTACTTGAAAATAAATTTGTTCCTACTTATGAGTAACATCCTGTACTGGTAAAAGGTTTTCTGTGTGAAGAAGTAAGCAGAGAGGAATGTGTCTCACTGCAGAGACATGGTGTGAGCATCAGAATCTTTCTTACATTGCTGTGTCCCTACCTTGTCCTATAGGATCTTGTGATCAGCTAGCTCTCCAGTCAAATGTAATGATTCTTCTGATTATCTTGCGAGCATTTGTGACTTACTGCCTCTGACAAAAGCTGCCAAAAAGGCATTGATTTTCTGCTTCTACTCACCAAGCTCAGTTACTAATTTTGAGTCACACATATATTTTGTCGTTTCCAAATCCTCCTTGCCAACAGAACTGCTAATGTTACCGGGATTGTGTCTAATAAGTTATTTGTGGAATTCTTATTTTTAGTTTTTAAAGGGAATGTCAGAGAAAACGGTGTCTGTGCTTTATTGAGAGAGATTTCTGAGAAATTTATTCTTTCAATTGTTAATATCATGAAGTACTCTGTGTTCGCTACAACAGGAACAACTGTTGTAAACATCTGGCATTTGGATCTATAGAAAACAAAATTGTGTCTGGGATGTGTCAGTGACACAGAGACTGAAGTAACTTGTTGGTCAGAGATGATGGGACCTTAAAGTGCTTGCTGAATTCCTGGATGAAGCTGACACACAAATAGAAAGCTGCAGCACCTTTGCAGTCTATTATGGCAGTGAGCACTGCAGGTATGTTAAGGTAGATGCACAGATGACCATGGATGCTCAAGAGAAATAGCTGAGTTTTTTTTA